TTTTCTGCCGCCGCTTCTCTATTCTGCTGCGTTACCATAGAATTCGCGCATTTGCCCCGGCGCTTGAAATTGTAGCGGGCGGAATTTTATATGTATCTCGGGCGATACACGATATTCGTGAGATTCATCTGCATTACTAGTACGAGAAAAGAGAGAGAGAGAGAGAGAGAGAGAGAGAGAGAGGAGGGAGGGAGTGGAAAAGCTTCCGTCTTTCCTGCTTGGCACGACGAAGGGGCGAAAGGAGGATCCAAGTTTCAAGAGTAACGCGTCGCACCTGCCGAAGTCGCCCCCGAAAAAGAAATAACGTGCGCTACGTGCACGTCGCTCTTTACATATTTTCCGGTTGCCAGGTTCCACGATCGCTCTCTCGTTCTCTCTCTTTCCTCCCTTCCGTCGCACATGGTCATGGTTATCATCGTGAGTCTATCGCCGATTACCGCGATAATTCTCACCCGCGGCACGGCATCTCGCGCTCGACGTCGCCCGAGATCGCCCCTCGAGACAGAATCGACGGCGCGGCGGCGGAGCGTTCGATCTGGATGCGGCCCAACTCGGCGTGATCCAATGAATTATAAAATATCCACGTTTCTGGGAAAGCTTCCGGATCGCGTTATTACGAGCGCTCTTGGCTCGTTCTCTCGTCATCGCGACGATATTACGGCCGTATCGCGAGAGAGAGAGACGGGGCGGCGGTTACATCTTGGCGCGCGTCAGCGCGTTATTAGCGTAAATTATCGGGATAGCCACCAGGCGATCCCGACCACCTTGTATCGGTGGACCGACGACGACATGTAACGATGATATACCTGGCACCTGCAGGTAGGCCCTGCCAGGAGGATGGGGGCCCACGATGGGGGAGTGTCACTGCTCTAACATCACTATCATGCAGCTGTTCCACGAGCTGAAGCAGCAGTTCCCCGCGCTCCCTGATCACGTCGTCTCCCAGTGCATCGCCCAGGTATACAGGTGGCCTTTGTCCGTCAGGAGTGTGGCCCTATTAAATATCGAACCTCCGCCTCGGCCCTCTTCTTTTCTCGAGACTCTCGATAAAGAGAGAAAGAGAGAGAGACTCGCTGAACTAACTCGTCGTCCCTATAGTCGCTGCAATAACGATCCTAACTGCCGGTGCCTGCAACGCGACGTGCGTGATTTAACAAGGACTAATAATCATGTCTCCTCTATACCCTCGCGTCTCTCGCCCTCCTCGCCTGTGCCATGCATCGCTAGAACCATTTGCACGAGCGTGGAACCTGTGTGTACCTGTTGTTTAAGTGTGTCGGTCCTCCCAGAATCACCGGATGTTCCTTTCACATTTGAATTAATCAATTTGAAAACCATTATAGTCTTCCTTCGACGCTAATGTTCAAGTATGTTAAATTTCAGGGAAGGAAACAAATGACAAAATCACATTCTGCAATTAATTGGCTGGACTTCACAAAATAGAATTTTAAATTACAAACTTGTTAGCAAAACAGTTCCTGCAATACTAAAAATTCTAAAGATGCGATGACGTTTTTTATATCGATGAAAAATCGCAGCCAAGGAGATTACAGTCAGAAGGAATATCCGGTTTTAATATTCTGGAACATTACATATAAGTCCTTCCATAGCAGACACGCGTTTAATATGAGCGATTAAATGTAAGCGATCGCGCGACGCGTTCCTTTCGGAAGGCGGTCCTCGGAAGAGAAACGCGGGCTCGGGACACCACGTGTCCCGCGGCCTGTCTCCTAAATTGGAAATCGACGTCGGGGACAATCGGCGGCTGACCCCAGATACGTGTGCGTTGCAGAACAGTCACGACCGGGAGACATGCGCGAGAAGCCTGCGGGCCACTCAGGAGTCCCGTCCGTCACCGGGCGCGTTTCCACCCCCTGCCCCCTCTGTCGGGGTGCAGCCGTTACAGCCGCAGCAACCGCAATCGCAACAACAACAACAACAACAGCTACAACGAGAGCAACAACTCCCGTCGCAGCAGCATTGCTGTACGATGAATCAAACGGTCGCGAGCAACGTCAGCGTCGGGCGTCCCCATCGACCGGCGTCGTTGGACATCGGTATGACCCGTCGCTACCCCCTCGTAGGCTGCACCCGCAACGCTGCGGCTGTCGCCGTGGCCGCGACGCCGGCATCATCCAGCGGCATCGTCACCCCCTCGTCCGCGCCGGCTGCCTGCACGTCACGCGGTTTCTTCGACGACGGCTGCACCGTCAATAGCAACAGCAACGGTAGCAACGCGCCGTCCGGCTTCGAGCTCAACGTCAACGTCGCCTGCAGTCCCGCGGGCAATCGCGGTACGGAAGACGGACGATGTTGTCTCCTTGCTGGAATTGATGTTGTATTCGCACTATTTAACGCTGAACATCCCGAGGTTGTAAAGCGGAGATTTTCGCGTATTTTTCTCGAATTAATGTTTAATTAAAAAATAAGCACGGGTATCAAACGAGATTTATAAAAGTTGAAAGTAACATAAACTGTTTTTCGGAAGAGGTATTTTAAAAAACCACCCACAGCGACTGTACGATGTAAATTTTCACAATATTTATACATTAATATCAAGCGTTAAATATGTGATATGATCAAGCAGCATACAGACGAAGAATTGGATTACAATAGTATTAAATTAAAAGAGTTTGTGGAATGATAATATTTCGCTCGTGATGACTAATAATAGAAAGCGATAGGATAGGATGTAGAAGAACAATTAAAAGCGAAAGGGGATTGTATAGCAACGTCATACGCTCTTCTCGGAAGACCAGAAACTTGATCTCTTGCGGCGCGCTTGTTTATTATGGAGGTTATTAGAGACAATTCATTTTAATTGCGCTCATAAGCTCCTGTCGCAATCACCATTCGCTCAGACGGACCAGTCTACAAGTTGACTTCGATCATACACCGTCGACTTCTTTTATTTTCATTTATCGACTCTAAAATTGTTCGTGAGATTTAGCGGATATATATATATATATTTTTTTTTTTTAAGAAAGATTGTCTAATCGTGATTTTATATCGGCAGATTTTCGAACGGTACCGACAATCGGCGCCTGTAAACGAAGCGACCTCGTCGTCGTGCCGCGACCTCATTACGCCGAGCCTCTGTTAGCCATCGGAAAGTCTGAGGCGCAAATCGATCACACGCGAAGTTACACGTCGGTCAGCCTGACCCTCCGGCCGCCCTCCTCCGAGCCGCAACCCCCGATCGATATCAGGTCAGAAGGATCAAGCCTGACTTACTCGACCTCGTCCTTGGACCCGCGTGGCTTTCAGAGCCGCCTGCAGATCAGCATCGGTCCTGGAAACGTCGGTAGCGTGGCGGCGGCGAGAATCAGACCGCCGATGGCTAAGCCATTCATACTGCCGCCGTGGGCCCAAAGCCCACTACGGTCGCCTGGTATATGTTTTTTTTAATTTAAAACAATATAATATTCAGATACAAGAGATTTATATTTTAGAAAGAATTGAGTTTTATTGAGGAAGAAAATGTGTATGATATTTATATAGACACTGTGATGTAATATGAAACACGGAGTGTCGTGTGGGCGTGTATATACACGGGGTGTTCCCAGACATCTGATTCTAATTCTAGTAAAATTTACAGTTCAATAAAATTAAGAATATAAATCTCTCTGTACTCGTCGAGAAGAATTTATTACTAAAATTAACACGCGGGATATACGGGTTTGCCCATATCGTTTTCAGAACTTCCGCCAGAAACGCCGAGCCAATTGCCAAGGCCCACGACGACGATGAGCGCGCCGAGTACACCCTCCATACCTCCGCCGACGACGAATGTCGGAGTCCCAGGTTGCAGCCTTCCGACGACGCCGCCGTCCGGACCCACGGCGAGCAGCGGCGTCGCGCCTCCTCTCGCCGTCGCTACCACCTCCACCTCCTCCCTCGGGGATCACACAGCTTCCGATCGGAATCAATCGCCGTTGTGCCAAGGTGAAAATGCCCCATCGGATCGAGTTGGAAAACGGGACGACGACGCGCGTCCTCGCCGTCGCTTTCGCCCGCTCTTGCAGAATTGCGCGCACGTGTATATTTACCTGGAAGTCACTCGGTCGCACGTACTACGCCCACGCACGCAACGCCGAGAACGATATTTACGCATTCCTGACCCCACGCTCCGGGCTATACATAGCCGCGCGCGCCCGCGGTTACAACTACGCGGACCACCTGATCCGGTTTTTCTGATCGCGAGAGTCCGCGCGCTATCGACGCGTTTCCTGGACGCCGTTACGCTAAACGGCGTACATGGCTCGCGAAGGCCTTTCGCTTTTTCTTTTTATTTTTTTTTTTTACTGTCCGCCATCAAAGAGCGCGATAATGCTGCGGACAACGTCAATCTACGACGCAGATCCGACAGCTGCTAAAACTCTCTTGTATCTAATCCGTTATCGCCGCGATCGATAAAGTCCTAATAAAGGCGATAAATACGATAAAAGTAATGAGTCATCAATTCGCGACAAAGTAGAAATAGAAAGCCGTCGACGTGATTGAAGTAAGCTCTGAAACCGTCCGGCTCGTATCGCGGGTGTATATGCCAACTAAAATAGTCGTTGGAATTTTTCAGTGGAGGAGCACCAGAAGAAATTAGTCGCCGAGCAGCTGGCTAGGAAGGAGAGGCTCGCCAGGGAGCTAAGGGTCGAGAAGGGACGACTCGAAGCGATGAAGAAGGAGGTGCAGGCATTAGCCCGACCGGTGGATCCCTCGGTGTCGCCCCAAGTACGTGCGGTCGCGGGGAAAACGATGATCGACATCTTTTTTTTTTGTGCATACGTATCTCAATGCGTGATTTTCGCAGGAGCTGAAGAGAAAGCTGAGGAGCGAGATATACATGCTGCAGGTCGAGTGCGACAGATTGGCTGATGAGGTCGATCAATGGTCAGACAGACGAGGTATTCCGTTTCCTATCACGTTATCGCGCACGAAGTTAGTCACTCGCGACTCTCGTAGCGAATAACTTCCGTACTTTTCACAGTACCATTGGGCGAGACGAACGAGGAGTTTTATCAGGGCATTTATACCGGCCAGTCGTTGCCGACGAGACTGCCGAACCAGTCGCAACCGCCGCCGCGTCTACCGAGTCAACCGCCGGCGTGGCGGCCGGAGCAGTCGACGACGATCACGAGTGACAACGACCGGGAGGAGCGGGACGAGCCTTCGTGGGCCTGCACCATGTGCACCTTCGACAATCATCCACTGATGAACAAGTGCGAGGGGTGCGACATGCCGAGACTGTTGAACCGCGGCAGTGCAGGTATAAGCCCCGGCAAACCGGCGAGAGAATTGCCGTCGACCTCGTTGTCGTCGTAGTGAATATAGTGAACCGAATGTGTGTTGCTCCAATCACACGAAATAATACAACTTGTCGCCCTAACAGCATGCCGACTTTTGTTATGTTCCTTCACGAAGAGACTTGTGTGAAGACTCGTGTCTCCCGCGATTACATTAATCGACTGGATTTTGATAACGCCATGAAGCGCTCGAATTAAAGTGATATATTTTTTATCCTATCGTATATTTTTTTAGAAAAACTTTAATGGAGAGAGTGTGAGAGTGTTGTAACTACGTTATAAAAATTATGTACTTAATTATGATTAATTATATTAATCATGTTAATTAAGCATAATAAAGGAGAGTAGAATTCGCGACACTGTTCTCGTTGGTTTGTTTGATGTTTGTGTGTGTGCGTGCGTGCATTGTTGACTTTTATATCGCACGATAAAAATTAACGTCCCATTTATGGCCATATTTCTCTTATATGTATAATATTTCTAAGCTATTAACGTCGTTGATGTAGCATTGATATTTCCCGGCAAAATGTATCATCTTTGGGGTTAACTCAAGGTAAGGAAAGGAATTTTATGCCTGACGAATTATGTAATGTTATTTCGCTTAAATTTGCAGCGATGCTAAAGTAGTCTGAAATTTTCAGGGGAGACGCAAGATATTCATATACGAGTAACGCATCACCATAACTTTTCGCCACGGCGTGAGTATACTTTATATCGATGCTAATGTTCAAACGGGATTAATATTTCGCAAACAGCTATTTACACTATCTGCAAAAATAATCGCGATTGTATTACTTTTCCAGATATAGTGCACAGTTGGGTGGTATGATGCGAACTGAATTAGAAGTTTTTTCAAAGAGCTGTACATACATATAAAAAAAGAATTATTATTTAAATTAAATGAACAAATTTTGTAGGAGCTAAGCGATTGTAATAGAACACATATGTGACTAATGTAATAATTTAACTTAATTTTTTATTTACGTTTAGTGCACGCGCGTTATTAGACTCGTTGAATAGTTTTCCCCGTTTTTCTGGCGATTACATTTCTCTTTTCTCGAAAGCAATTTCTACGGATCGTCCGAATTTCGTAATCGCAGAATAATGTGCGCATCGCGTGAGAACGACCAAAGGTACATTCGATTGAACATCGCGAAATTCTTTTTCTCTCTCTACAGATTTTCTTATTTGTATAAAAGATTATGTAATACGTAAAATACAAGTATTTGTGATAATTACAACAATGTTCTCCCGTTATATAGCCGTACCCCTCTCCAAGTTTAGCTTCGTTTCCCGTGTATACTCGCCGTAGAATCTCTCCAGTTTCTGATTGAACTTGGCGTTACGCTCGTTGATGTAATCAATATCCGCGTCGTCGTTGTGCATTCTGCGCCTGCTGTACTTCTCCCGTTTCGCGATTCTGCAAAATTAAGAGAGAAAAAAAAAGATAAGTCCGAATCTCGTCAAGATTGCGCAATTTTCACAGGATCGTAAACGTTACTTACTGCTTCTCTAGATTGGTGACCATTTTATCTACCGCTTCCTTCTTGTCCTCGTGCAAGCCGTGCAATATCGTATTCGGGTCGCCGTAAAAGGCAGGGCCTAGCTTCTCCTTCGCTTCTTCGTACATCTCCATGTTCGGCTTGATGTTCTTCACCTGTCTGTTGTAAGAACGTACCGCCGCTTGTTCGTAGTCCGAGAAGCCTGGGTCGGGATTTTGTTTGCTTCTCTTCTTCCTGGCTATTCTCTCTGCTTCGGTGGCATCGATGCTCAGTAATTTTTTCCGCTCATAGTCTTCACCCTGAAAAATAAATTAAGTACACAGCATTCAAATAATTTTCGTACATTTGGTTAAAAAAAAAAGGAAAATATGATCGATCTTGGTACCTTAGCTTCTGCCTCCTTCCTGGCGGCCTCGTCCTGCGTTATCCATTCGGCCTGTCTCTTGCGGGACTCCCAATTGGCAGGCAGCTTGTTCCTCTTATCCTCCTCCACGACTTCCTTGTGATTCTGCATTCTGGCCTCGTTCTGTTAAATCAATCATGTGCTATAGACAAATCGCGAGGATAAATTCCAACAGCAAGTATATATATATATATATATATATACATACACGCTTAGTGATTAAAAAAACTTGTAAATAAAAGAAAGAAATAAGCAGTTTAAAAGGCCTCGATGAAAATCTTCATGCAACCTCTCGACAGGTTATCTATATTAACTCACCCTCTTGGCGTGGAGTTCTCTGAATCGCTTTATCCTTTCCTCGTACTTCGCCGTCGCGGATTGCCCGGACGACGCACTCGGCGCCGCGTCGTCCATCGTGAAGCAGAAGGAGACACGATTTTCCAAGCTCGCGCGGGACCAACCAATGTCAACACGGGAAGATGGCGACTACTTGTCAAAATCGGAGTATTCGGAGTCGCGAAGAGAGAGAAGAGTGCTCGCGTTTTCGTGGCGGGACGCCATCTACGTTCCTTAGATGCGGACGTAGAACTACTTGGTCACGTTTATCTCCCGGTAGATAAGTACGAACCCTATAGAATAGAGCCGCGCGGAAAATCGATCGTTGATCAACCGTCGATACAGTCAACCCTCTTCGCCGTTTGGCTATTATCGATTCCCGTTGACAGATCTCACTCAGACGTCACGAGTATAAAAGAGAGAAGCGCGTTATCAGCGAAGGTCACATTTCTCTCGTACGTATATGTCGTGTGACGAGGAAGATCGGATCGATCTCGCGCGCTCGCGTGCGGGTGCCTCCGAAGCCGGAGGATTACCAGCGCCGTTCGCGCCAGTTTCCGTCCAGTCCGGTCGATCCACGTTCCGGCCACGTACCGGCCGCGGCTCTCGCGCGGGTCGCGATTTAATCACGAACACCTCCCTCTCTCTCGTCCTCTTCCACTCCCACCAATTTCCTCTCTTTCTCTCTCTCTTTGCTTTTCCGTGAGCTTTTCTGGATTTCCGCGGGTAGGGCGCGGACGCACGCGAGCGCGAGCGCACACGGGTACGGGTGCAGGGCTGGGCGCGCGCGCCGCGGAGACAACGGAGCGGAGCGAGGCCGAGCCGAGGCGGTCAGCCGGATAAAGCGAGAGCTGCGAGAGAGCTGAGGAGAGGAGCGCGCGCGTTCGACGTCGTCGCGGCGCGCGAGAGAGGGCTGTGCTTGCCTTGGCGAGGCGACGCGCGCGCGGAGAGTAGAGTAGCGGACGAGGAGAAGCGTGGCGAGATCGAGTCGAGCCGAGGGCAGCGATCGCGACTCTGGAGTGCGCGGCAGCATGGAGACCCTCGAGTCGAGCCGCGTGTGCCGCCTCTGCGGCCAGCAATCGGGCATCTCGATCAACATCTTCGACGAGAGCGAGAATCACGTACGGAAAATCAACGCCGTGTTGCCGATCATGGTACGTCATTACGCTTTCTCTCTCTCTCTCTCCCCCCCTCTCCCTCCCTTCCGTTCGTCCGCTCGCTCGCACACGTACTCCTTTTTTCGCGCCCTCTCCTCCTCCTCCTCCTCCGCCTTCGCCTCCTCTTCGTTTCTTTCCAGCGCGCTTCCCTTTCGCGGCTCCCTTCTCCAATCGGAGGGTACGCGCCCGCGTGCCTCACTCGCGTGCACTCTCCTCGTCCTTGCACAACAGCATTAAAGCGCAACCCTCCTCCCTCCCTTCCGCCATCCACCTCGCATCGTTACGAAACGCGCGGTCCGTTCTCTTTATTAGCCGCGCTCCACGCGCGCTTTCTTTGCGAGAGCCTCCCTCTTCGTTCTCTCCCTATTCAACGCTCCAATTCGTCTACATCTATTTTGTTGCAAAATGCGACGGAAAAAAGGAACTTCCGCGTTCGCATACATGCCGAGATTGCCAAGTGGCGGAAAGAGAATACCGCAAGTCCCGCGGGGTGTGGGGGGAGGGAGGGTCGGACGGGGGTATCCTTTGTGTGCGGCGCGGGCCACGCGTCGCCGATCACGTGTGGACGTCGTGGTTTCCTCACGGGGATGAATTCTTGGCTTTTTTTTCCCCCTTTTCTTTTGGCAAGACTATCGATTTGCGAGAAGTGAGGTTATCCTCGGTTTTGCGCGCTAAATAAAAATGTCGAAAGCGCGGATTACATTGCGTCATTCGAAAAAGTGAGAGAGGGAGGGATTCGAATGATTTCATAAGTTTCCCGCGGTGATTTTTTTTTTCTCGACAGATTTTACAGATTGGCGGTCTTTCGAATCACTCTCGTTTCTTTTTGGATTTTTTTTTCATTTTTTTTCTGCGTTCTTTTATTTTTCTTTTAAAATGTAAATTCGATTTTTCTTCTTTTTCGATGCGTTAGAGCTAGAATAAAAACCTGACGTTTCTTCAATTATGCAATTTGAAATGCGCACATAATTTGATGTATTTATCGTATTTATTATGATATAAACATATAACAAAATGTATCGTCTACGTCAAGATGATTGAAACATCTTTCTCAATGATAGATTTTAAAAAAATTAATTCAATTCAACAGACATTTAATAAAAAATTTCTTTTCAAAATTGCTGAGTACCTTAATCATTTTGATAAACCATATATTAATTATAATAAATATGTGAAAATGTGTAATAAGAAGATTTATAAGACAATCATAATTCACTTGACTCTACATATATTAGTTATAATAAATATGTATGGAAATATGTAATAAAAAGAATAATTATCCCCCATTGAAAAGATTGTAACAGAAGTTTTTTTAATGTGAAAAAAAAATTAATGTATTATTTTTTTTTAAGTCTTTGTAAATACTTTTAATGGCTATATTTTCATTTAGACACAGAATCAGTAAGTTAATTTATTTTCACGTTTCAGAATTACATAATAACATTATTTTTCAAATTAAGTAATTGAGAGACAATCATGTGAGATACGATATCTTCGAGTTAGTCAATCGAGTTAATAATTAAATTTTATCACATATACGTGACTTATAACAGAAAAGAATAAACAATTCGAAACCGCGATAAATTGTGTGTAAAAAATATTTGTAACTTAATATTGCATTTGTCATTTCGCTGAAATTCACTGCATCGTGTGAAATGTGCTTTACATTTGTAGTTGTATTTTTGTATTATATATTAAAAATATTGTAAAAAGAGAAGAGTAGGATAAAATATATATCTAGAAAAAAATCTGTTCGCCAGTCAATCGCAAACTCCAAATAACTAATTAAATGTGTCTCGTTCGCAATTATGTATGAAACCGTTCTGAAGCAATTAACGAGGGTGACCGGTGGGAGCGATAATGTTAATGAACGGAAGTTTCCAACCTTGTATGGCATGTCATTCGTCATACGTATGTATATCTACCTCGGGCGACGACGCACACTCGTTTATTCCTCTCTTTCTCTCCCTGCAATTCGACAGTTTAATCCCACGGCTGCTCGGGATTTTGCAAATGGGATTGCATCCCGTCAACAATTCCGCAATAATCGAGGTGTTTGGTGTAACAAAAAAAGCGCACGATTGTTTTTTAATCCTTGCAAAAAACATGAAAATGTAAATCTTTGAGAATTTTACATTTGCCAAAATCGACTTGAATTTACAATTATATTAATTATTTCCGGCACAGAGCTAATTTCTAATTTATAAAAGGTCGTAAAAGAGCATTCTTGAAAGATCGAATCGAATGAACTCGTCGAGCACCGACCTCCTCGACCGGTGACTGATCCTCCGAGAAACTCGTAGCTCGCAGATCCTTCTGATTTCGTGTTTACTATGCGTTCCCCAGGTACACGAGATGGATCTACTGCCGAAGCAAATGTGCCATCGGTGCAGCTACAAGTTGGAGGAATTCCACAAGTTCTACGTGGACTGCCTGAAGACGGACGCGGCGCTCAAGAGTCAGCTGTCGTGGATGCGGAAGGGTGGCGGCAGGGAGAAAGTCGGCGTGCCGATGGTGCACATCGAGAACATGAAGATCAAAGCGGAGCCGCTCGACTACGACGTGTACGAGCTGGAGCCGTTGGTGGAGAACATCGACTACATTAACTCGATGAACTCGGTGGCGTTCCGGGCCGGTGGCATTCACGACGGGCTGACGTACGCGGCGTTCTCGCGCTACCGTTGTTGCTGTGATAAGAAGGACCAAAGCAGACCGAGGCGAACCACAGCAGGGCTCTGCCAGAATTACGAAGGACAGACGCCCAGATCCGGTAGGGTTGCGGACGTTTCGCGGAAGAGGACCCTCGAGGACACCGCCGCCGCACGGTTGGAGCTGTTTAAGCGGAGTCCCTTTACGCAGTCGGTGTTCCCGGATTGCCCGCAGAATCGTCTGCCGCGTGTCGAGAACGCCGTCGAGAACGCGCGAGATCGTCCACTGGCCACAGATACGAGTACCAAAGATAACGTAGCCTCCTCTCCGGAAACGCGGAATCATTCTCACGGTAGACTCGAAGCGTCCCCTAAGAGTCAGACGATTGCCAGGAGCACAATAGTGCGGAACTTGAGGCCCAGGAAAAATCTGGTGAACTATACGTCTAATAAGAAGAGAATATCGAGTGTCAATCCGGGACCATCCGCGTTGACAAAGTCGAACGTTTCCGAGACGACACCCGCCGCGGACTTCGAGCTGGTGCGGCAGATCAAAGTGGAGCAGACAGACGAGTCCGAGGGACGCAACTTAAGGCCGAGGAAGAACGTTGTGGATTATCAGGAGCCAAAGATGAGGAAGATCGCGGAGCATCGCGCGAAGAGGCGCAAGAATGAGCAAGATGAGCAGGGCTCGAGATTGCACTCGAAAGACGGGAGTGCATCGAATGCTCTGAACTTCGAGATAAAGCAGGAGACTGTAGACAATTTGGAAGTGACGGTGCTTGTCAGCGAAACGACTACCGACTCGGCGCCACAATTATCGAGCGGATTCGCCGCTTTACCCGCGAAGATCGAAGCAATGACGAGCGACAATGACGTCACTCTGCGAGATGACTATTTCAGGTCGCAATTTCAAGATCAATTCCAGTTGGCCGAGCGTAGATCGCTCTCCCACGTCATGAAGAACAACAGGCTGAAGACGAAGAAGTATCGGTTCTCCTCGGCGAACTGTTCGCCGAAGTACCTGCGAAGTCAGGACGCGTATCTGAGGAACGGCAAGACGAGGAAGAGCGACTATATGGAGTGGTCGATGAAGAGACTGCAGACGAGGAAGCTGATGGTCAACAAGAGCGCGAAGAAATCACCGATGCTGAAGGTATCCGAAAACATCAAGCATTACTGCGAGTCGTGTAATGTCAGCTTTATGAACAAGGAGCTGTTTAGATTGCATGCGTGTTACTACGATTGATCTCTTCCCGAATTCTCGAGAAACATGAAGTCCACGAGCTGTCTGAAGATTGTTCGAAGGATTAAGATATCTTCTAGATATCTCTGTTCGAATAGAAGACCAGGACACTTCGCGACGAAGTGTGAAAAATGCACAAAGAATTAAGAAATCTTTGTGATTGTACATGATGTGCATATATGTACATATATCTTTCAATTTGCAATTCTTCTAATCTTTTTCTTTCGAATATTTCGCTTACAAAATTGAAAGTGCTTTTGTTTAAATTTGGACATTTTCTATTCTAAGAATAAGGGATGATAGATCAAAACGTGCCTGTCCCTAAAAATTTGACCAAGTTCGTATATAATATATACTTTTTTTGGAATATCGACATTAGCTATTTGATCGTTGACTTTTTTTTTGACAGTTTTATTAAGGTTTTATCAAGTGCAAGGGTAAACGGGATATAGCAAATTCCTTATGTACATAATGAACTTAAATTTAATACTACTCGTTATTATCTTTACTATATGATTTATGTAAGCGATATACATATATGGATATATATTATGTATATTATATTACATATTATATATATTATATACTACAACATATATATACTATATATGTATATATTATATTATATATATCATGTGCATACTTAGATCTTATTTGCTGATTTAAATATGTTAACCTATGACAATTGTTGCAACATACGCTTAAGATATTATGTAGAAAATCACAAGTCGCCTTCAAAGATTGAGAAGTAATTATAATATAGAGATAGAGATATATATTTTATGAGAGACAAGAGATATATATTATATGTCGATATTCGATGAAAACATGTGATATGTGTATGAAAATAGCGACCGATTCTTTGGAGGACTCCAAGTTATCCAAGTCAACGGACTTAATAATTGAAAATTAATCTTTCTACCGCGCTACATCGGAATTTTATATATTAATATTTACGGTCTCCATGTTTAGACGATTGTTCCGTTGGAAAGAATTGCATCACGCTGCGTAAAAAAGAAATTTGTAGACACATGTTTACATTACAATTGTATTATACATTCGGATTTTATGTTTATCCGATATGTATTAATCGACATATTGGACGTACGCGGTGAGCATGACGATGAATTTGTTAAGTAACTTGATTACACACCATCTATTTTTCTAGCATTGTTACATCATTGAAAATTAAATTGAATTAATATCATGTTATGTCATTGAATTGTCTTTTTCATAGTAGTTATGTCATGTATTAACTGCATAAGTTCATGCAATCCCAATTATTGTTGCAAAGTGTTTCTCTGAATTATCTGTCTGTCGATACACAAATAAAGAAATAGTTACTGTTATACGGTAGATATATCTTTCTCATATCATTTAACAGATTAATAAATGTTAATTATATAATTACATATACGTGTAAATTATATGCAATTGCAATGATTGAGGACCGTCCCGATCCCGTCGTACTTCTCTCTTCTCTTCCGAAAAACTCTACCTATGTAATATGTAATATTAAATGAAAATGTTATGAAGTGGACACGGCAAATTAATAAACAGCAATAAAATGTTTCGAAAAAAAAAAAAATATTTCTAATTTTCTAATTACGTTTCGCCGTTAACAATTGCGACTTTTATTGCTGTAAAAAAAGGAAAACATTGTGTAATTAGGATTAAATTTGGAGGAATGAAGGATATATATTTTTTATTTTAATCGTTAAACTCTAGAATGACATATTACATGTTTCTTTTTATTTAATTATAATTAACCATATTTGTTTTGCAAAATCACTCGGTTTTGTTTAACATTTTTAGTTTTACAATTATTGACATTGCTAGTAAATCTTTATATTAAAAGCGTTACAAAACGTTTATACAGCTTGTAAACTTTTTCTGCAAAGATATATATGTATATATATAATTAATTTTGATGGTTCTTAACAATTTATATTATTAATATACTTTTATTATTATATTATTATTAACGTTAAAAAGATAAAAACTTTATTGTGATTTTAACACTAATTACGAGAATTCTTTAATCAGACTTGTAATGAATTTTTGACTAACCCACGAGTTAGAATTATTTATCATTAAATCAGTATCTTCTATTGCTTATCTTTGGTCTCTTTTAAAGAATTTCTTCATTATTTTATAGTTCTTATTGATTTTTCAAAAAAGTCATATAATTTTTATAGAAACGTCAAAAAGGGCCTGACAGAACCCTTAATTTAAAAGTCTCGACATTAGTACAGCATTGATGCCACACTCAAATGCGCATGCGCGAAAAGGTGATTCGGCTAACAACACTGGCGTTTGCAGGTAACAAACAAACAAAAAGTATGGCAGGTGTCAAGCGGTTCGTGAGGAATGACCGGTCGTACACGGTGGTTTGATTTGATCTAACTGCGGCTGTGGGAGGGCGAGATGTTTTCAGGCGCCAGGAAATCGCCGCGAATCGAAGACGTGAGTTTCGCGCGCTGTTATTCGCTCGCGTGCCGCGCGCTTAACCTTAAAATTCGTCGACCCGTCGTCGAATTGTCGATCGTCCCGCGAGTTTTTCAGACGTGTAACTTAATCCCTCGCATAGAATAGAGCAAGTGAGAAGTTTTATGTGTGCCGAATCTGCTTCTTCTAGTTAATCTCCACGGAGGATGACACCTTGGGATCCTCTATAAGTCTAAGCGTCGGCGAGAACTCGGTGCGCATCAAGGAGAAACCTAAAGTCGCCAAGGAAGCCGAGCAGTCGTCGGTCGACAAGAGAGACTCCACGCTGGATAAGTGGTGGCTGAAGAGACCCGAGACGCGTCTGGGTGTCCTGGGTGCCAAGAATGCAGACGCGAAGACGAAGCAGTCTCCCATCCCTTCGTCGGACGTCAGCTCTTCGATGAAAGAGTTCCTCGAGAGAGAGAGGATGTGCAAGGTAACTGCTTATAAAACGAGTGATATTGATACCTCGGCAAAACATTTTTCCTCGTTTACAGCGATATTAATTCACAAGTGATTTTATTCTCTATCGTTTCTCACACATTGCTTTGAATAATTTTTAGACAACGTCCAAAAGCGAGGGAGAAGCGAAAGACAAGGATGACACGTTATGCGACATACTCGCATCTGCGGCTTTTGACAAATATCCGTCAGACTTTGAAAGTAAGTTTTCACGTAATGTGTAAAGCTTTCTCCAAATTGAGAGTTTGCACTCGACTAATTTCTCTCGTGTCTCGTACAGATGCCACTGACGAAGATATCGGCAGTATCCTGGAGGAAATGAGCAAGATTGCCGGGGCATTAAGTCCGAACTCGTATCCCGAACGTACAAGATCCGGTGGTTCCAGTAAGAATCCCACCGAAGAGGAGAAGTCCGTGGAAGAGTTGTTGGAAGAAGCTGAGAAGCTAGTCAGGAAAAATTGTAACACTCTATCGAAAAGTATATCCAAGTCTGATACTCTAGTGCCAGAAAATCAAGACGACAGCTTGAACAGAGTGAGACAATTGGAAGCTGACATTTTTCAGTTAATAGAGGAAGAGGTGAACAAAGAAACAGAAAAAATAAAGAGGAGTCCAAGAAACGACAGGAGACGGGAGGACAGCCCCGGATTCGAGGTCGTTTATGAAAATCTGAAACCACCGAAAACGCTGGAGCTTCAAAGACGAAAGTTTGAGGAACAGAGAGTCGAGATATCGAGTAGTTCCGATTTGGACGACCCGATTGAGAGGCATTCCAAGTCTGAGGAACTGAAGATCGCGAAGAGAATTGAAATGGAGAAAGAGAATCTGCAGAAGGAGATTACGGACGTGGACAAGGATTTTTTCGAAGATCTGCTGAGAAGATCCAAGGAGAAGGCGGAGGGCGGGATGTCGGCGAGCTCCAGTTTCGGGCAGGAGGATTTCTCGCATTTCTTGAAGCTGCTTCAAGGGCAGAATACAGACAAAATGGAGCCGGAATCAAAAGAGCCTAATGCGATGTACGATCTCTTTTTGAAATCTACTAACGGCGAAGTAGTGTCGTCTAAGGAGGGCCAATTAGCTACTGGCAAAACCCCAGAGTTTCCAGAAAAAGAATTTTCCGAGATATTGGAAAAAGAATGGCCGGCCATTAGCGGTGCACCCATGGATCATGAAATCAATGAGAGCGATTCCAGCGCGAGCGAAGGACGGCATAAAGGGGCGCTGAAATCTCTGTCAGGCAATAAAACAGTCTTGAAACATTCCAACAATGAATCGAAGAAGATATCGAAAGTCGCGAAGAAAGAAGGCAATAAAAATGTTACGGAAGCTAACGAAAAGGCAGTTAATTCTGAAAATGAGCTGTACACGGTGGGACTGACGCCGAGGCTGGAATTATTCGCGGATGCAATACCCAAACTTATAGCTGAGAAGTTAAGTGAAAGTGTCACGAAGGAGAACGCGGAGAAAGCAGAGAAAGCAGATTCGCCGTACGAGAAATCTGCTCGTTTAGAAATGAAGGTTGACATACAAGCGGAAAATTCATATACCGTTAACATACCAAAGACTTCGAAGATGCATCATCAAGAAGTATCTGAAGAAGGTCACGGTGTTTCGAGTAAAGCAATAGACTTACCCAAAACCGACCGCGTAGTCAGTGCACCGAGCAATAAACAATCGAAGAAGGAGATAAAATTCTGCAAATCTAAGAGCTACGACCAGATATGCCAGCCTCCTCTGACAGCATCCCTCGAAAATCTCAGGGTTAACAAAGCATTAGACGTGTCTAAAAAACCTGTAAACACGATTTCCAGAAAGTCATCGGCGGTAAAGCCGAAAGTGCAATCCCGACCGATTCCCAAAGCCGCGCCGAAACCCAGCTCGTTCCTGAAATCAAAACTGGATTCCGCTAAAGTCGGGTCCGCATCCAGCTTGCCAACCGCGTGCAAGGGATCCCTGAAATCACCCGATAGTTACAGGAAGAATTTTATGGCCGCCGGTGATTCGAAGCAGATTCCAATGAAACACGATTGGGAGATGTTGTGTCGCGAGGAGAGACACAAGAACGCGCTGCTGAAGCAACAGTTGGAGACCGAGGCAAAGCTCTACAAGAGTCAAATTGACGACATGCGTACGTCCTTCGAGGGAGAGCTGTTTGCCTTGAGGAAGCAGAACATAATCTTGAAGGCGCGAGTCGACGAGCTCTCTCTGAGCGAGAGGCGCGCGGAGATCCCCGTCAAGACCGACACGAGGATCCCTCTTTTGGAACAGGAGCTGGAGAAGCAGGAAAGCCTGATCCGCGCTTACGAGACCGAGAACAAGAAACTGATGCAAGATACGAAACGTATGCAAGAGGAATTGAAAAATTTGCAGTCTAAGCAGAAGAGCACGGTATCGAAAGGAAACGACGTGCAACAGCTCGCCGATCGGGTGAAGGATCTCCAGGAGGAGACGTTGAAGCTGAATCTCGAAGTATCCAAGCTGAAGGAGAAGAATGCCGATTATCTGCTAAAGAACGACGATCTAATTCAACAGAACAGTCTGCTCACGGACGAATTGGATATGTTCAAGGAGCAGCTGAAAGCGAAGAATAACTTTATCACGGATCGGCTGCAAGTGATGTCCACCACGGAGTTGGAACTTAAGAAACAGGTAGAAGATCTGAGTATCAAATTGAGCTCCAAGTCGGAGCAGTTGCGAGTGACTAAACAGGAGCTCGAGAAGTTTCAGCAGGATGTATTGCCCTTGGAGAAGGAACTGCTGGATCTCAGAGTTAGAGAAGGGAATTTCCACGAGAAATTACGGATAAGCAAGAGTCACGTCGAGCGTGAGAAGCAGCTGACCCAGCGACTCAAGGATCAGGTTATTCTGGACAACAAGAAAGTCATGGACCTTAACAGACAAGTGCGCGAGTTGGAGCGTATACTCAAGAGAAAGAATCCCGACTCGGTTTCGGCTCTCATACTGACCGCCAACTCGGAACAGGAGAAGATCGGTTCCGAGAAGGTGAAGCTTCTGGAGGAGAGAATAGCGAGTCTCGAAAACGAGATCAAAACCAAGGAGAATATCGCGCAGCAGAATCTGGTCGACCTGCAGAAAAAGTTCACCGACATGAAGGAGAAGTACGCGACGCAGGTGATGGAGTTGGAGGCGAAACTGTTGGAGGCAACCGCGAAGGAGCGCAAGGTGTGCAATGACATGTTCACGCAGACGATGAGATACGTCGAGAGCAAGAGCGTGGAGAATGGAAACAAGAAAGACGACAGAGCTTCAACCGTGGATGATAAGAAGGATCAGAAAACGAAGGCTGGGCCGAAGTCTCAAAATCCGAAGGAAGACGCGCATCTCATCGCCACCATAAGAGGCCTGAAGCTGGAGATCGCGAACAAGGACAAGGCGGTGTCGAAGATAACCAAGGAGTATCAGGAGCTCCAAAAGACGAATCGGCGATTGCAGAAGGAGCGGGAGAAACTGCTGAACGATCGTAGGAGCTTTAGAAGCATGGATTTCGATAAGGCGTTCCGAGGAATGAGGAACGGCGAAGGGAACGATCAGAATTCGAATGTCTATCAGAACGGGCACATGTCCGACTCGCAGAGATTGTCGTCGTCGGCACCGAAGTTGTACGATCCGATGCAGTACACGGAGAACGGCAAGAACGGAGTTATAAAGAAATTGACTAACGAAAACGATATTCTGAAGGAGGAGCTGAGCAAGATGAACAAGGATTTCATGGCGCTGAAAAGCAAGAGGTTGCACGATTTGAATCTCTTACAGGAGGAACACGAGCGGGAGATGGCCACTCTTGTGAAAGAGTACAGCGTCAAGATCGGAGATTCTAAAGTGGTAAAGTTGCAGGTTTGTAAAGCTTAGCGAGCTTCATTTCATTTGTTTTTTTTTTATCGTTTTTGCACGAGAATAAGTTAGTAGTAGCTTTTGAGTCAAACAAGCCTCCGCTTTTCGCTTACATCTCAATATATCTACTAGGAATTTTTATTTATTGTACAATTTTTATTATTCATAGGGTCAGCTAAATACTCAGGGAGCAATCATATCGCACTTAAAAGAGCAGGTCGAAAAGTTCAGGGACTACAAGGAGCAGGTGGTCATGCTGAAGGCCGAAAGAGAGCATTTGGAGAGTAAAGTGAGGACGCTGACCGAGAAAGTCAAGTACTTATCAACGCCGGTACGTGAAAGATAGTCGATTCCTTTAAGACGCTCAATGATATCGACGTTTGACATTTCTGTTACAATATCATCGTTAATATTTCTATTCCAGGGAACGGAGCAATTGCAGTTGTTGCAGGACAAGATCACGATCCTCCAGCAACGGCACGAGAGCAGAGAGATGACTCTACAGACGTTAATTCGCGACTTACTGAGAAATCGCACGCAGTGCAAAGACTGCAAAAACGAGAAGGGTAAGAATCGGCAGCTCTGCTACTTCCGGCAGGAGCTCGATCATATCTTAGGTATGTTACAAGAGATCGCTAACGTCCATTGATTATCGCTGAATCGAAAAATCGTCTCTAAATAGTCACGCAGCATTTGGTGGTTATCGGTTCGTCATCGAATATTGTGATAATTTTTACAAGAGTAAGATTCGCGATGTAGCTTAAAATAATTCGAGAGAGGCATTAGGTAATTTAAGTGTCGGGGCGTAGGTGCGTAAACGCGTTCGTTCGCGACACTCAGCCAAAACATGCAGTCGATACTTCCATCGACTCTTCCAGAACTTGATGAAAAGGAACTTATGCGCAATCTTCTTTCTTGCGTCCGTGACGCCGTTTGTTCTGCGAGATCGTCCATCAGTACAGAATTCGCGAATGACTCGGTAGGCTCGGATCACTGCCAAAGAGAGAAACGCTACCGCGTGACTAGCGGTAGCGTTAATGTCTATAATAACGAACGAACGTACGATTGAATTACCAATCTTTTCCAATCTCTCTCCGTCGCCAATTTTCTTGCCACGCGCGCGCAATGTCTGGGAACACTGCCCGCTATTAGTATAATCTATTTTATTGAATCAAAAATTAATTTTTAGAATAAGTCGTACATTTTTAAGATTAGATATTTATTTATTTATTTATTTATTTATTGACTCTCCGCGAATAAAATGACATGGCTGCTTGCAACGTTTCTCCAAGTCGATGTTGCCGTAGCTTGTTTTCTTCTTATAATAAACTGTATAGCAATGACAATTGGACGGAGGAAAAAGAAAATAGATATGTAAAAATATCCTCGTAAGGATTTCTTCCAAAGTTTAAATGATATCTAGTTTTTTACGGATAATTTTTTTGGAACTTTGCTGTACATATAGGCGTTATAAGAGATGAATCGCTACATTTATTTCGGATAATACTCCACGTCACGATCAACGAAGTCGAAGTCGCTCTCGACTATATCATGTGTATCGTATCGTAAGTACTCTAATTTATTACTATTGTTGCCAAGCCTAGCTGGTGGATCTCGTAAAGTGTAGCCTTGTCTGTATGCGTTCGTTATAAAACGCAAGCACACCGCACAAATCGATGTGACCGAGACTGAAGGGCGAGTAATCAGACGCAACATAGAACATGCCTATCTTTCGTATTTTCAACCTAAATTCTGTAGACTCTTGGAGACTATTATCATCCTGAGACTCGGTTACGGTCGAAGCACACACACAATCACAATTCGTTTTCTAAATAGACTTAAGCTTGTCACACGCAATGTACAAAATCCAAAATTATAACTTTAATAAACTTAATCTTTTCGCCGAAGGATCGATATTTCTCCTGGCGGCGATATAACGTAAGGTAAAAAAAACGCTTTAATTAATATTTCCTGATACTAATCGAGTTAAATAATGTCTGAGGAATTTTATATATATATATATATATAACTTAGAACATATATTATATGTTCTAAGATATATAAGTATATATATCAGTCGTTTTTTTTTAATAGTAAAAGAAATATTAATGAAAACAAAATATTTCCGACGAATTTATTCATTTCGACGAATTTAACTACGAGACTGCAACTATTTTATTTTCCCACAAAATATATCTTCTTAGATATACATATTTCTACTGGGTATATATGAGAGCTGTACATTAATCTACATTCTAAGTATTTAATCTATTTTCTAAGTCGGGAACATTACACACATTGCAACGTAATATCTTAATTCACAAAATAATAAGATCGACAGAAGCAGAGATTCCAGAGAATAGCGATTTTCAGGAGCCAATTTTCGGTAGCCGATTATCGCTTCATTTTACCAAATTACGAAGCGCTGCACATGCTGCATTATGTTGCTGCTGCAAGAATATTACAATATATGTTAAGAATTCTATTTTATTCATATCATTTTGAGAATTATTTTTATCATTATTGAAAATCTATTTTGAGAATCAACATTTTTTTTACAACTAAATTATAACAACTATATTTTATTATTTGTGATCTAAGAAATTCCAGTAATTTTAGTGTCTTACCCGAGGGACGATTTTTTTCCATTATAGAGAGAAAATCCATAAACGGTACATAATGCCACAACGAAAGCTTGCCTCATGAGTTCGTAGGTCATAGGATACTTGAAGGATTCATAGTCCTTCATTGAGTTAGGAACGATTTTTGCTCTGGCTCGCACATTTCTCTCAACGCGTGCGTCCTGCAAATTGCGTTCCCATTTTGCGGATAATCGTTCGTTATCTACGGTCCTAGCAAGCGTCCTCTCGGCAGACAACCTTCGTTGTTCGCGATTTTGTTCAGGTACACGGACAGCTTGGCGATGAGAAGAGAATCGCGATGAGTCCTCGATGTTCCTCGCTGATCTCTGGCGCAAGTGCCTGACGGGCTCTTTTTCACGAAACTCGGCAGGTCGATTCTCTGATCGAGCCACTCGACGCTCCGTGAGACGTCTGATCTCGCGTTGCATTTCCGACGAACGTAGTAATGCTCGCGTCTCGAGGGATGCTGTTCTAGAATTCGCTTTACGCTCTGCCGGGAGCATCGAGATCGAATTTCGCAATTCGGAATTCCGTTCCACGCGATCCTGCATCCTGGATTCTTCGCGCGACCTCGAATTGTCGTGAATCCTTCGTGAATCGAGGGCAGAACGCTTTTCCAGGATTCTTCCGCGAGAAACTCGCGATTCCGGGTTTCTTTCCAAACGTTGACCTGCCAGCCTGGATCCTTCGCGCGATTTCGAATTGTCGTCAACCCTTCGCTCCAATAATCTTCGCGAGGCGAGAGTAGATTGCCTTTCCAGGATTCTTCCGCGAGAAACTTGCGATTCCGGATTTCTTTCCAAACGTTGACCTGCCAGCCTGGATCCTTCGCGCGATTTCGAATTGTCGTTAACCCTTCGCTCCGATAATCTTTGCGAGTCGAGAACAGATCGCCTTTCCAAAATCCTTCCACGAGAAACTCGCGATTCCAGATTTCGTTCCGAACGTCGATCTGCTAGTCTAAATTCTTCGCGCGATTTTAAATTATCGTCAACCCTTCGTTCCGACAATTTTCGCGAGGCGAGAGTAGATTGCCTCTCCAGAATTCTTCCGCGAGAAACTCGTGATTCCGGGTTTCTTTCCAAACGTCGATCTGCTAGTCTAAATTCTTCGCGCGATTTCGAATTGTCGTCAACTCTTCGTTCCAATAATCTTCGCGAGTCGAGGACAGATCGCCTTTCTAAGATCCTTCCGCGAGAAACTCGCGATTCCGGATTTCGTTCCGAACGTCGATCTGCTAGTCTAAATTCTTCGCGCGATTTTGAATTGTCGTCAACCCTTCGCTCTGACAATCTTCGTGAGTTGAGAGTAGATTGGCTTTCTAGGATTCTTCCGCGAGAAACTCGCGATTCCGGATTTATTTCCAAACGTCGACCTGCCAACCTGGATCCTTCGCGCGATTTCAAACTGTCGTCGATTCTTCGTTCCAACGATCTTCGCGAATCGAGACGTGCCGAATCCAGAGCGACTCGTCGCTCCAAAACTCGCCTATCCGAAACCGTTCGTTCGGACGCTCGTCGTTCAGCCTCGCGCGATCTCTGAAGAACAATCTTTCGTTCCTCGCGCGATTGGTACAAACGACTCGTTCTTTCTCGCCGCTCCTGAATAGAATCCCGTCGTTCTGCTGCAGCAGAGTCGCGCGATCTGTGATTGTAATCTCTGGAGTCTCTGATTCTCGTGATTTCCTGATGATCCACCGAATTACGAGCGACCGAACGGGAGGGTCGTGCGAATCTCTCTCTTCGTTCCCGACTCGCGATTTCCTCGACATCGTAACGCGATCGTGCCACTCTATCCTCTCTGATTGCCGCGTTTTCACGCGAATCGCGTCGGCTTACGGTCCTCTGCGAGCGACTGATCCTTTCTCGGCGCAAGTCCTCGGACGGGACTCGCGACATTCGATCGACGGATTTTCGATCGCCAAGACGACTCTCAGCTTTCCGACGTCCCGCGTGATCTATTTCGCGACGTTCCATAGATCGGAGGACCAACGATCTACGTTCGGAGGACAATGTGCGCTCCCCGGATCTCTCGGTGTTGAATTCAACCGATCTGACTCGTCTGCTAAGAGTCTCGCGATTGGGATCGTTGACAGTTAGACGTTCCATCGATCGTGACAACGTTCGACGGTCGTCGGATTTAATAAGATCTCCACGAGAAGCTCTGGTAGTAGCGACCGAAAGTCGTGATCTACGTTCTTGATTAGCGACGCGATCGAGAAGAGCGTGGCGATTTTCCAGAGACCGTTCGCGATTTCGGCGATCCATATTATTGTTGCGATCGAGATCCCCTCGTGCGAACCTTGCCGAACGATTCAGGAGATTTCTACGATCCTCGCGACGATCCGATCGTTCCGCGTCCCGACGTTCGGTTGACACACGTCGCTCGACAGATCTGCTACGTTGGCGTATCTCGGCTCGATTCGGGACGCGATTTCGCGCCAGATCTCGGTGTTCGCGACGACCAGCCAGGGCATCGCGCGATTCTTGCCGATCGATTCGTCGCTCCGCCGAGAGTGATTTACGGTCGCGATAATCGCTCGTACGACGTTGAAGATTCAGAGAGTCTCGCCGGACCGCTGATCGATCGACACGACTTTGCCGTCGCGCGATTTCGTTAAGCTCGCGCCGTTCCGTGGATCGACGATTTTCAAGCCGGGAATTTGCAGGCTCGGCCAGACGGCGTTCGAAATTTTGCTCGGCAGAACGGCGGTCGACTGCTCGATTGGACAAATCCTGCGATCGAGAGAGTCGAGTGGCGGGATCGAATGAGTTCCTGGCGTCGCGGGACTGCGCGATCGTCCTAAATCGGGATTCTCGGAAACGGTCGAGGGACCGTTCGTCGTCGGATACGCGAGTCCTCGATCTTGAAAGTCTCTCGGTTGTCCTTATCTCTCGGTTTCTAAACAGTCGCTCTCTAATCTCCCGCGAATCGCTTCTAGACAAGCGATCGAGACTCAGAGATCGTGAGAGTACGGATTTTTGAGACGTAGGTGGTGCTCTGGATTCAGATACTTTCAATTCAGGATTGTTAATCGGTGTTGTAACTAATTTCGGCTCGGCAATCGGGCTTTTGACGAAAGGACTCAAGTTCGGACAGGCGTCCACCCTAGAAATAATCGGCTCTACTGTAATCTTTGCAACAAGCAATTTTAAAACAGATTATAAAAGCAAGCGAGATTCTCTTATATCTTTAACAAGGAGCGCAATTAAGTTAAGAAAGATACACTGCGTACAATTCCAGAAGCTTTTACGACTTTTAGCAAGGAAAATAATTAATTTCATACTCGTGGGGAGCTCGATGCGTGAGTTCAGGACCTGCGAGACTACCGGCATGTCCTTCCCTATCCCTGGACACTAATCCTAGTGTCAGACACGCCAGCGATACTATCAGAAGTCCGATGTACTGCCAGGATCGCACGGGCAGCACTACGTGGCGCGTACGCCGCATCCTGCTGCAAAATATCGCGATTCGCACTATTTCTAATTAATTAAAGAGCGATTCTATCCCCGTCGTATTAAGTCAATTGAATCGAAAAAATTTGGAAATCGAAAATTAATGGTACAATGTATTAGTGTCAGTATATTAGTCTAGGAAGCAAAATCAAGATCTTTCCTTACGTTATATAACGTACGTGACGATGCCTTTTTTTTATTTTTTTTTGTTTAATATAATATACCACTTTGAAATTTAGAGTGAAAGAGATTGTTTTTTTTCCGCGCCGGGTTTCATCGATAACTCGAGAATATCTCGCGACAATAAGAAGTGTCATACCTGAGGAACTAAAGGCTGTCGCGACCAAGCTTTCCGAGGGTACTTCGAGAGGGCTCGGCAAGGGCTCTTCAAGTCTTACGGCGAGAAGTGCTCCACGTCGGTGCTCCGGAAAGCTGCTGACGCCGGACGTCCCGAGGGAGCGGCTTTTATACTCGCAGGAGTTGCTTCGTAATTCGATAAAAGCGCAATTCGCCGCTTATCAGCGGCGGCCACATGGTGCCCCATACGCCAGCGCGGAAGATCGTCCGTGAACAAAGCGCGAACGAGCAATGTTGCGAGCGGAAAGATTGGAAAACCGCGACGCATTTGGTTTAACCAGCTGGAAAATTGCGAATCGGGTTGTCTGTGGGGCGGAGGTCGCGCGTGGGTGTCTTTTAAAACCGTGTCCAAGCTTAATTTCAAAGGATCGGAGTCGCATTTGGATAAGATTATTAAGCGAAGTCCATTTCAATCCAATAAATCCGATATTTGAGAGATGTTAAATACGTACGTTTGATACCAGAGCTTATAATAGCTGAATGATTAATTCTACCCACTTTAAATATTAAATCTGCTACAGGTTTATAAAATTTTGCAAATCTTTTAATTTGTCGTTTGCGTGACATTAACATGATATTATATTTGATTAGTTTTTTTAAATAATAATTGCTCTCTAGCGAATTAAGATGCAGATAAAAATTAGACGGTGAAAATATAATATGTTTGGAGAAAAATGTTTACAAATGTTTATTTTTATACAAGACACGTATTACAAAATGGTAAAACAGGAGAGTGTGCACGTCTTATAAATATGCATTATTAATAATTATATACTATTTACATTATATTATATTATGTACTTCTATATTTATATCTATGTATGCTTACAAGTGTGGCAGATCGACGACAATTTTTTGAAGATTTGTTATCTTGCCAGAAGAAATTGACCGGCCACCTAATACTTTAGGAATATCTGGACTTGTTTCGAGTTGTTGGGGCTCGTACGAGAAAATCGCTCGCCTTACAAGGTAAGATTGCTTAAATTAATAAGTTAATCAGGCTCGTCTTATAAAATTTGAAAATATACAGAAAACATTCGTGACGAGAACCGTATTTATCGTGCTCGCGCAACTGACAGCGCAAATTGCATTCGCCGTGCAGCCGCTGACTGTCGTTGACTATTTGCTCGAGACTTTTTACAACGTGACGATCGATACGACGACAATAATGACCAGGGTGAGCAGGTGGGTGTAGGAAACTGTGGAGGAGCCAGACTTGAACTTAAACTCGCTGCACGTGTCGTTCTTTTCCGGCAGCACCGTGAAATTCGGGAAGTTCTGAATATTTGCCGGCTTGAAAAATTAATAAAAAAGATTAATATACATAAATTTATATATATAAATTTGTGGTAAATAATATGACAATGATACGCTAACATAATTTATTCTTATACCTTAAAATTTAATTTGTATATAGGGAAATTATCCGACAATATACTTTTCTTAGAGGTGCACAATTATGAGCTTAAAGCTTATAATTAGAAACAGGGAATTGCATTGAGAGATCTTACCAGTGCTAATTGATCATCCCTCATTCTACAGAATGTCAAGTGTTTGCCGTGATAAAGATTAGCTTCTATCGTTCTCGTGAGCAAATCCTCCGCCCACGGCAAAGCCAGCATATGTTGGGTCAAAGTTCGACCTAAAAATTTAAGAAAATATTAAGGGAAAAACGTTCAAAGAAATATTCTCTTCAATTGCAAGAGATTTTATATTTATCAATGTTTTAATTATTTAGTTTTTACAACATTATACTTCTATCTATATATTGTACCTTTAAATTCCTCGGGTTCCTTAATGACGAGTCGCGTGAAGATGTTATCATCATCATTTTTTTCGGTGTGCTCTCTTATCGGCCTTAACGCAGACTTGTTAGCTTCTTTAACGACAGACTTATTAATCTCGGTCGATTTCATGGTCGAATGACCGGGAAGCTGTTGACTGATCAAAAGTGAAATTAAGTCAGAGCTAGAATTTTTTATAAACGAAAATTTAAATCAGGCGATAAGATGTGTGTGAGTGCGAATCTACATTTTTTTATTTAAAATTTTTTGAAATTCATCTTTCTTTTTTTCAACAAGAAATTAATCAAAGAAGATAAAAATTAATATCTCGTGAACTTAAAAAATTTACACAGATAATGCATGACATAAATTGAAGGATTTTCGTGTTAATTTCTTTTTTATGACAATTGATTTTGTAGAATCTTGAATATCCTAAAACTATTCTGCGCGAAGTAACTCACCCATTCATTAGGAACTTCGTCACGTTATCCATTGTCATGTTTTGGAAGCTGTTCACGCCGAGAGTCTTGAAGAACTCCATGACGGGCGTCATACTATAGCAACCGGCGAGTGGGGTTCTGGGATAATGCACGACGAATGCCAGGCACATCTCTTGGGTAGCCGCGTAGCCGCCTAAAGTCGGTTTCGTTCTGTCGAGAGTGCCGTAAATGCATTCCGCGACTAGCTCGTCGCCAGGCAGCACCTTCACCTCTTTCTCGAGGGTGTGAGACTGCTGGTAGTCGAAGTCGAAGTGATTGTCCTGGACTATCCTCGGCAGCTCTTTACCTTTTCGAATGTGCTTCAGGCTGAGACGTCGACCAGCCAAGTGCGAGTGTAGAACGACCGATACAATATTGATGCCATCCTCGGGAAACATCTGAAACAGAATTTGAGATCAGTTTTATTTCTTCTACACACATTCTATTTTATTGCACTTCACGCTTGCTAACAATCTAATATCGTATAATTACCGCGTTGGTGCAGTTCGGAGTGCAATATCCGGCGGTGGCGTATGCCTTTTGCTTCGGGGGCACCAGATGAAGGGGGCTCACCGCCACGCCGGTCACGAGAATGCCCGCTTCCTGAGGACGTAGCTCCGGCGTCAAGTGAAGTCTTATTCCGCTGCTGTCGTTCACCCTTTTCAAGGTTGGATTATTGTAATGAACTTCCAGCATATAATACGAGTTCTCGCCGTGTTCCGCGATAGGTATACCGACGTGCTCCGGCATCCATTCACCTGCACAACGATAGATGATTCTATTAAATCGGAATTTACTTGTAAAACGAAAAGAGATCTTCAAGTATCACTCTTTATTATCCAGAATTTTTCTTGCGATCCCCTTTAACGGGATTTAGATCAATTTCGTGAGCCTTATTTTGTCGTTCTGGACCTTCGCGGGAAATTTCATGCAGCTTCGCGAAGGAATCGATTATCCCGTGGCTCAGCAATCCGCCTGTACTTTGTAGATAATTTACCTTTACTGCCACGAGCCCAAGCGAGGACAGGTTGTAGACACGAATCCCATTCTGGCGGCATCGTCGAGGTGTAGCAACGAGCGCCGGCAATCCGTGCGTGTTCACCGAGGACTCTATCTGTCGATGCGCACGCGTACAAAATTATGTGATGGACCAGATCCTCGTTGGCCTTCTCCACGAGCGGTGTGTACTGAAACGTATAAATAATGCATGAACGCAAGACGCCTAAAATCGCTCCGCCTCGGATTAGGTGAACTTCGAAATTTGCGCGAGATCTCGAATCTCTTCAATTCGGCAAGATTACGCTCGTAAAGATTTGCAGGAAGTTGGGAGACTGTCGACATGAAAGATCTGGGTCGGCTACAGGAACTTCACGGTGGGATCCTGGGAACGATCGTGATCGTTTTTCCCGCGATCGTTCCTCCCATTGATAGTCTGCGAACGTTTCGGTGCGCGCAGTGACATCGTTCCGGGTCTCTTTTTTTTTATTCTAACGACGCATGCGTTTACCCCGCGCGACGTCCGGCATGAATGACCGTGATTCGTGAAGCACATACGAATAAGGCCCAGCCTTTGCATTCCATCATCGTATACCGGGACTTATTTTCAAGAAGTTTGCGTCTACTCGAGAAACCTGTTAGCTAGAATTTGCATCGCCTCGTGTACTTACCCCTATCATGTGGTGTTTCGTTTTCAGCTGGGAGGTGACCTTGAAGATCTTGCACCAGTAGATGGTATCCTTATTGTCCACCTCAAACTGTCGGACGGGAAGATCATTAAATCGTAATTCATTGAGACGCGCGCAAAATAAAGAAAACGGCGTTGGATTTAAGTTAAACTTGATCGTAAATTTAATTGTATTAATAAAGTAAAATTTTGCTCCATATTCATTTCATCCGTCTTTGTCTAACAATTTTGAGTAACTCTTTTGACTTTTCGTTAGGATAGCGTATAATATAATCTAAAACTGTTGTTACTTATTTGAATTTCTCGTTAAATAAGTGAAGATAAAAATATCGGAGAAAGAGGGTATCTTACCTGACTCAGCTTCACGTCCCAGTATCGTGCATCACGAATCTCTTGCGGTGGCGAATGTGCCGCAGCTGTTTTCAACCTCAAAGCCTTTCCGCCTCGTCTATTCCCGTGCCATCTCGGTGTGTTTAATTCGGGATCAGCATCGTGCAGGGCCCACAGTACTCTAACAGTATCGCCCTAAAATCACAGAAGCGAATTTCGCTAGTTGGAGCGTCGGCAATCATCGATATCGCGTCCCAAATATATTCTCGAATTTCTGTCTATTTTTTTAAATTTTATATTACTTCTGTAAATTATATACATATATATACATATATATGTATATGTATCAAAGTATTATAGTGGCGTGACTGCAATTAAAATCGAATACGTTGACCGCCGGAAGATTGTGCCACGGCAAAAGGGGACAGACGGCATGCTAAACGCCTAAATACCGCCGCGGGAATTCGAGACTGCGGGATCCTACGGCCTCTTAAAGCCCGCGGGGCCCCTGCCACCCCCCCCCCCCCAGGCATAAATCGAAAGAAGGTTCTCCGCGAATTCTACAGAGCCGCGGCGACGGTTATACAGTAAATCTTTCGGACAACGCTTCTTCTCCCTTTCTCTCTCTTTCTCTCTTTTTCAGACCCTTTTAAAGGACCCCCGTTTTGGCTGGCGAGATATGCACGGCAACGATTTTGCTTTCTTTGCACACATTTTAATTACAGAGTAGCGGATTAGAGGTCGGAAGGTAATTTCGGTGTTAGCGAGGCGCGATAAATTCCTGGCCCTCGCTGCGTTAATGCGCGCTTGCGAATCACCGTTGGCATCCGAGAATGACCCCTTTCAATTACGTATAATATTTGAGACCCCCGCAGGCCGCAGAGTCCATAAGATTTATTTTAGAGTCCGAAGTGACGCCCGAAATGCACCTTGCGGTGCCCGCTCACGGCAGGTCTTAATTTTAGGCAGTTGACCCAATCATCCGTTTCTACAATATTTCCTCTTTGCCTGTTTTTTCAATTTGAAACAATTGTTCAATTTAAAAATTTAGTGAAATTAGACTAATTTTACTAAATTTTACTAAATTAGATAGATAAATTTTACTTAATTAAAAACCTAATTTTACTAAATTTTTGATTGTTACTACAATCCGAGCTTGTCTTTTATATTGTTAGATTATTCAATTTGTTTGATTGTGAGATTATGCCTTAATTGATATCTTGCGAATCGCTCGAGAAGTGAAAGATCAGTTAAACCTGTACTTGCGCGTAGTCAGACTGTTAATACAATCATTATGAAATAATGTCTTCTTCTCACTTACCGTGAGTTCATGATCCTGAGGGTCGCATGTCTGCCACTTCCTGGAAAACGTGACGATGGTATGGGTCCCATTTTGCGAGCCGCTGAGCACTTGGACGTCCTGATATATGTCAGTTATCGGCGCAGCGTTCATCTCCTCGCTACCGTGCGAGTCCTGGAAAAGGGTGGGAGAGAGAGAGACGTTAGAAAATTGTCGAAGAAGGTTCAACGTACTCGTCGAAAACGAGGGTCTGGCGGGCCTCGAAACTTGCTCCCTCGCTATTGGACGGGAGATCGAGAGCTCTATCGGGTCAAGTAAACGCCAGGTGTTCGTATCCGCGCGACGAACTGGGACTTTAGGCCCTTCTACCTTCAACACAATTCGAGTCTCTACCATATCTTTACCTACTTTCTCTTTTACCTTTGCTTTAAGTAAAGTACGATGAACTTTCGTCATTCTTTGTTATGGCGCGGTTTTCATTCACGGGTTTAATGTCTGCCAACGTGACGCATCGTTACAATAAAGAGGATGTTGATGCTTTTCGTAAAATTATTTACGCTGCGATTATACGCGCAATCGGCGCGCGTATAAAAGATAATATATCTTTTTTTTAACAAACACGGAATCGATATTCTCGTAATAAAAAACGAGATTAAAATGTCAGTGATCCGGAATTAAAAATTATGAGTCACTAAAGAATTAATGTCAAGGATGCGAATTGAAATCTTATTTATTTGAATTCAATTTCAATAGAAACTCGACAGAGAAGCCATTTAGCGGCTGCTGCATTTAAGAAATTTTAAGCTGACGATGGATTATCCTGCATTAGATTTTTATTCTGATAAAGTCGGCCCTCGTTGGAACACGTTGAGAACTTTGCGAGATTACTGCGCGGTAGGTCGGGAACATCTTGCGCCCGATTGTTGTAATTTTATGAAGAACGAACGTGCGTGAAATAACGGGCCGATATTTCAGTGCCCGGCGATAAGGCGTTGCATTTGGAGAAGAAAAAGAGAGAGAAGAAGAAATGGATTTCCTAGCTGCCGTGTGGGGTAGTACACGCGCATAAGGGCGGCCTGCAGCCGCGGGCGTTTGGGTCCGTTGGGCTCCGGTTACGGTGAAGCGCTCCGCTGTGACGTTCGTACGTGCGGGACGCGCGGTGGTGCTGCTGAAGGGAAGTCCCCTTCCTGCACGTAATGAATCCGAATAATTGCCGGAGAGCGTCGTCATGCCCGGTGGAGTACTACGCGCCTCGTAACGAGCACGTGCAGAAAGGAAACGATAATAGGCGCGTCTCTCTTTTTTTCTCTCCCTCTCTCAAAATGCTACGAGAAACCGGTGGAAAATGCGAGGCGGGAGAGGCAGGCGCGAGAGGGCAGATGCTCGTTAACGCGTAAAATGATTTACAAAGTGTTCGTGTCTTTGCGAAGGCCCGTTTCGAAATTACACACTCTCTCACCCTGCCGTAGAATTGCTCTCGTGCCGCTGACTTTTATTACGGCGCGTCGTACTTTTTTCGTGAATAACTTTGTCTCTTTGTTTAATTTTCGAATATCATCGAAAATATGTGAGTCCGATAAATAAATCAAATGTAATTTAACAATACAATTTTAAAGTTGAGAAAAGAAATAACAGTTTTTATTTATATGCCGTTAATTATTTTTAGCATATAGCAATAAAAAAAGTGAAATTTTATTTTTAAAAGACTATATATATATATATATATGTATAAATCTAGTAGAGAGAAAGAGAGAGATTAAAATTAAGAATTGTGCTTTTTAAAGACCGGGATTATACTGATGACCTCACTGCAGAGGACGATTTTTGATGTTCAAATGAAGATAAGCGGGTTTTAATTACAATCAGTTCGCGAGGAACAACCCGACCGGGTATCATAATGATACGCGTGCATAAATCTTCCCGGAAGGCTGCGAGAATCTTTTTTTTTTATCTCGATCGTAGCGGTGGAGTCGCGTCGCTATTTCGTGTGGGGTTCAAGTGCGTTCTCACGAAGTTCGCGAGACGGTTTTCTCATGGCGTCCGGATATTCTCATCGCCATCGGGTTAATTAGTGCGGCCCTCGCGTTGTTCGGCGATTAAAAAGGTCTGAGAGCGTCCTAAGAACGCTTGCTAATTTATTCCGCCGTTATCCAAAATTTGATATGCCACAACGAAAAATATTCGTCCTCCAAGCTGTGAGGCTCTCGCGCTAATCATAATTCGCTTTCATTCCCCTCAATCCCTTTTATTTTGTGAGATTTTATATCAATTAGTCGAAGGTTTAATTTACAGTATCGTTATCGCCTTTCACGCGGCTGACGGTGAATGCGGATCCATTTTACTTTAATGTATGCTCGTCGCTATCGGATCTCCTTTCAGCATTCGCGCGAACAAACTATCTCGCCGCAAGATTGAACCGTAAACGGACAAATATTCCGTTCCGTCCGCGCGTTATCTCCGGGCGCTAATTTATCGGCGAACAAATTCAAAACACGTTCGGGCGGTTCGCGCGAGCAACCGGTGGAGTGTCGCGACTAGGAAAAGCGATTTGATAAAAGAGCTAGAAAGAGTGGGAAACACGCTCTTGATTCCCACGCTGGATTATCGCTACTCCGTCGCGCCGCCGGGGCGAGAAATATCACAAAGTGGCTCGAACGTTAGACGAAAGTATTATGCAAACGATCCGGCGAGCCGGCTCACGCGCCGGCACCTGATTTTCTGCGACTGTGAGTCACGAAGTCTGACAACGAGGAAGTCGCCTCCTGCGTCCTCGAAATGTTTTAGAAAACGAGTTTGCTCGACCGGCGGGATAACGAATGCGCCGCTTGATGGTGTCGTTACCGTAATCCTGGCGCGAATAATCGCGCACGATATACCCAGACGAGGGACGGATGTTTATGGCTCGTTAGCTCCCTCGAATCGACGACTCATCGACGCGAGCGAGGAGAAGGAAAAAAGAGGGATGCAGATTGCAGTTTAGATGGTCAAGATTTAAGCCATCGAGAAGCGTCTTTGATGCGCCGGAAAGAAGGCACGCACGACTGAAAGGCGGAAAATTAATTCGGCGGATGTGACGTCACGGATCGGCGACCGCTTCCTGCGACGGTCCCTTGAGAGGCTTCTCCGTTCACATCACTCGCGCGTTCTTCTCGTGAGGCGTGTTCCTCGGGATAAGGGGAAAGATACGGATCCTTGAGCGATAACATGGATCTCTTCTTCACGAGAGACATTTCATGAGAAGTGTCTCAGAGACATTCCTTCTCACCGCGCAACAACCAGCACGTATCCAATTGATTTTTTTTATTTATTTGTCGCAATGCGAGATTAGGTATTTCCGCGGCGTGAAAGCGATGTAAAGGGATAAGGATTATCCCTGTGAAAATTTCTAAATTGTAAAAAGATACATTTCGAATCGTTACGGCCTGTCAGATCGTCTGTAAGTTACTCATATCAGGATTAAGATCAGAATTAAGATCGCTCGTCAAAGATCTCGAACGATGGTCGAATAAGGTATTAAAAAAAAAACAGGATTTTATGGGACGCGTTCCTTCTGCGGATTCATCCTGCACGCCTCGAAGAAATGCCGACTTTTAGAGGACGCGCACTCGGGACCGAAATCCCGATTGCAAGCGTTTCTTGAAATGTTTTTCCACGCGGCAAATGGATGCAACGGGATGCGTGTTCACAAAAAAGGGAAACCCTGCCCTGTGCCGCGCTTTATGCCCACGCTACAAACATGGTTCCCATGGACCCCGTGGTCCTGGCGAGAAAAAGGAAGGAATTTCTCCGAAGAGGCGCCACTAGGAGAAGGATGCTTGCCAGGTGTTTTGGTAGTGGCCACTCTTCTTCGCCCTTCTCTCTCTCTCTCTCTCTCTCTCTCTCTCTTTCTTCCTCTTGCACTTGTACGTACATGCGTATATGTGTGTGCGTGTGTGCATTTGGGTCACCTTCCCCTAGCCCCTCTCTTACTCTCTCTTTCTCTCTCTTGCACAAGAGGAGTCCTGTTTTGCTCGGCTCGCTCTTCTCTACATCTTCCTCCTTCTCGTCCCTTCGTTCTCGAACCCTCGGTGAAACCAACCGCACTTTCCGTTTCTCTCTCCCTTTCTCTCCTTCGCATACATTCGGCTTCTTTCCCTCTTCTTCTCACAGTCGAATCTCCTTTTTACCACCTGGCAGAACAGCAGCTGGTAGCGACGACCAGCTCCTCCTCAGGCGGGAATAAAGGGGCTCTCTGTGTCCTTCGGGAATTTCGCGAGGAATCGGCGTGGCGTCGCGACAAATTTCGCGCGAATCACTCATAGATATATTGTGATAGACCACAGATACAGCTTAATTTTATCATCGTGAAAATGAAATGGATAAACCCATTTGACTTTTTAATAAAATGTATTTATATTATAAAATTTGTATTATAAAAAAATTAATTTATCTAGATAAAAAATCATGCTGACTTCTTATTATACACGTTAAAAATTTTAATGTGTCAATTTAATCTTCTTTCATATATGCGAAAGCAAAAAAATCTATGGCAAGTTTCGAAAAAGAGAAATCTTGACTGAAAAACTGGCATCTTTTATAACACAGGAAACTATAAACTCTTTAATAAAGTATTTATACTTTTCTCGTCATTTGAATCTCGTCTTCAAGAGAATAGTTTTTTTAGGATGTCTCGGCGACTTCTGAACTGCAGACTTTTACTTCGTCCTTTTTTCAGAACGAAATTATTATTACCTTTTAGTCGCGATTCCAGCTTCGTTCTCACGTGTCGCGATCCCGGCGTCGGAAGCGCTCGCACGCGGTTACGCACAATTACGAGCGGCGAGTCGTTAAGGTTCATCGTAGCCGGTTTTACGAGCGGTTACGCGGAATAATAATCAACGAATTAAAATGCGGTGGAAACCTCTCCCGTCGCGTCGTGCGGCGGGGGCGCCCGCCCGGCCACATTCGAGGGTGTATGCGTCCTCCGCAATTTACTCGACCTGTTTAACGATTCCCGCGTTTAATGCTTTAATCGCACGTGGAATTTCTGCCCTTACCCGTCATATCGATCGATGTAAAGATTCGTGTAAGAGATATTTCGTTTGAAACACGCTATTAACGGCCGAATTGAAGTTCTGCGTTTGGGATTGTATACATACGTTTCTTGTCTATAATTATTTTGCAAATCAAATTGA